TATTTCAAGCCAGCAGGCTACGCACATTTATAGCTATTTATTATTTTGTGCAATACACACTTATTATATGAATTTATAACTGAACAATACAAATAAATATCATAACAGGCCAAAGAAGCAGTCGCATTATTATTGATTATATATACTTTTTATTAATAATTTTGAATAACGCATTCAAGCGTAGATTCGTACCGTATCCGCTATGGAGAGGACGTTGGTTGCGCGTACATTTTGGTGACCTCGACGTGATACGTTTCTTGGGTCATATTGTGATAGTTATTTTATTAGATAATCTGGGTTGTATCTTCAGTTACAAGTATTATCATAATTAATTATATGTTACATTGCTGATTGTAATTATATTGAAAACATAGCAGTTATTATGTGATATTTAATAATTATTTATTTATATTCATTGATTTGTATTCTTGTTGAAATTTCAAACTGTTTTTATATTATATTCAATAACTATAGCTCCTCAACATGACATCTGCTCAATTGAAACCACTACTCAAGAAAAGAACCTCAATCAAATCCTCAATTGGTTCAATTAGTAATTATGTCAAGAAGTTCAATAAAACTACCCAATCTATCCGTCAACTTCAAATTCGACTTACTTCTTTAAACCAATACATCAGTGATTTTAATATCGTTCAACAAAACATCCAAGATCTTGATTTAGGGGAAGAAGAAGAACCTGAGCGATTGGAGTTTGAGGATAACAATTTCACACTACTTGCCATAATGGAAGACCTCATCGCTGAGGCTAGCGTCAATCAGGTTCAAAATGACCCTCATACTTCAAATGCTCTTAAGGGAACATCTTTAAAATTGCCAATGATTCAACCACCAACTTTTAATGGCAATCTGGAAGATTGGCCATCATATATTGATACTTTCAATTCATTATTTCACAACAACCCAGAGATAGATGATGTACTACGCTTTCACCATTTGAAATCAGGCTTATCTGGTCATGCTGCTGACATTGTCAAGAACTTTTCTATTACAGCAGAAAACTACAGTGTGGCTTATGGTGAACTGGTACGTCAATATGAAAATAAAGGCTTAACAATACAAAGTCACAACCGAGCTCTTCTCCAGACACCAAAGGTCAACTGTCCGTCGGCCATTGAACTCAGAAATTTACATCACCATGTAGCGTCTCACGTCCGTGCTCTTGAGGCTCTGGGACAGCCAGTAAACCATTGGGATGCATGGCTTGTAACGCTAATCTGTAGTCAACTCGATGTAACTACTGCAGGTGAATGGCAGCTTCGCCAGGATCATAAAGAATTACCTTCGTATAAAGAAATAGAATCGTTTCTTTCTAAGCGTGTAATTGCTTATGAAGTCGGTCTGGTATCAAACCCCACGACGGAAAAACCAGTGCGCTCCAAGGTGAACAATACCAGCAAAACATTTTTTACTCGTCCTACTGATGGCAAAGTGTACAAATGCCCCATATGCACGCAGCAACATAGAATTTATTCGTGTGAGCGATTCAACCAAATGTCCATCGCCGACCGAAAAAATGCTGTGTTGAATGCAAGGTTATGCTTTAATTGTTTAAATTTTGGACATCAACTTAAAGATTGTCGGTTATCATCCTGTCCAAAATGCAATCAACGACACAATTCGAAACTACATGATAATACACAGTCCTCTGACACATCAAAACAACCAGTCTTGTCTGAACACTCTGAACCGTCCAATGATAAGCCTTCTCAAGTAGCTGTACCATTCTCAGGCGCTGTCAATGTACAAGAGTCTAATTCAAAGCTAAATATAATGTTGTCAACCTCGCTAATAAATGTTCAAAGCAGAGATGGAAACTGGCAAAAGTGCAGAGCTGTCTTGGATTCTGGCTCGCAGCTTAATTTCATCACTCAAGAGTGTGCCAAGAGACTAGGACTAAATCGTTCCAATGGTGCACAGCAATGTATCTCTGGTGTGGGCACGATGGCATCCTCAGTTTCACACTCATATTCATCAGTTATTTCTTCCCGGGTCTATGAACACCAGTTAAACGCTACTCTGTACTCATTACCTGCAATAGTAAATGCACTACCGTCTCATAGGATTGATCGAAGCAAATTGATTTTGCCCAAGCACATCAATGATGAACTTGCTGACCCGAATTTCCATGAACCAGGTATTATTGACTTATTACTTGGATCAGAAGTATTCTTTAATGTATTAGGCAATGAGAAATGGATTCTCTCTGACCATGCGTCATTACATCTCACACAATTTGGCTGGATAGTGGCAGGGAAGCTGCCAATTGTCCATCAATGCAATTTACCACCTTCAATCAACATGTGCTCCAGATCAGCGTTTTCGTTTTTCGCCACTAAGGCTACTCAGCGCTCATCAGAAGAAACCGAAGCCGAAAATCACTTTGTATCAACATTTAGGCAAAACACTGACGGTCGATTCTTAGTCAAACTACCATTGCAACAAGATCCAAGGGTCCTTGGCGATTCTTGTGCAATGGCTCGAAGGCGTTTTTTTAATCTTGAAAAACGATTTGCTAAGGATCCTTCACTCGCAATACAGTATAAATTATTCATGGATGAGTATTTAGAGCTAGATCACATGGAACTTGTCAATGAAGCCACTGATTTCCCTGTATACTATTTGCCACACCATGCTGTGTTCAAGGCTGACAGCTCGACAACTAAGATGAGAGTGGTATTCGATGGTTCAGCTGCTGCTTCTTCTGGACTTTCATTAAATGACATATTGTTAAAAGGTCCAAAGGTGCAACCAGACATCATAAAAATACTGTGGCGTTTCCGTTTATTTAATACAGTCATTACCGCAGATGTTGCGAAAATGTACAGGCAGGTGTTGATGTCTCCTGATGATAGTGAATTGCAACGAATTCTATATAGAGCAAGTCCTGATCAACCGTTGAAACATTACAAGCTAAAAACAGTAACATATGGCACTAAATCAGCGTCATTTTTGGCTACTCGCTGTCTGGTGCAACTCGCCAAAGAATGTAATGATCCACAGATAAAAAGAGTTATCGGGCAGGATTTTTATGTTGATGATCTCATCAGTGGAGCTCAATCTGAACTCGAGTGCTTTGAAATATACAACCAACTGCAAGCAAGACTAGGGAAGGCTGGTTTTGTTCTTAGAAAGTGGTGTTCAAATTCCAAAGTAATGTTGGAACGCATTCCTAATGCCCACGATGATCCTAATTTTATGGTGGCATTAAGTGAAAATGATCTAATCAGCACTCTGGGTCTCATGTGGCAACCTACCGCTGACAGTTTTCGGTTCACTTTGAAAAATTGGTCACGACCACTGTCCATGACTAAGCGCAGTCTTCTTTCAGACATTAATAGCGTGTATGACCCAATTGGTCTAATTAGCCCTGTCTTGATAAAAGGAAAGATTTTCATTCAGCAACTCTGGAGTTTAAAAATGGGCTGGGATCAAGTGTTGTCAGAAGATTTGCAATCCAGATGGTCCAATTTTTATTCGAATTTGCAGACTCTTGATTCCTTATCCATAACCCGTCAAGCAGTATGCAACCAAAACTCACCAATTCAAATACACGGCTTCTGTGATGCGTCTCAAGAGGCTTATGGTGCTTGCGTATATCTGCGTTCCATAGATCATAATGATTGTATTCATGTCACTCTGTTTACGTCCAAATCTAGAGTTGCACCTATTCAGCCAACAACTATCCCACGACTCGAACTAAGTGGTGCGCTTCTACTAGCAGACCTAGTCACTGAAGTTAAGGCCGAGTTGAAGTTATTAGGCATCCAAGTAGATACGTCCTCCACATATTTTTGGTCTGATTCTACTATTGTAATCGCGTGGATAAAAAGTCGAAGTTTGTTCCAAGCATATGTTGCAAACCGATTAAGCCGAATATGTGATGTTTCAGAGCCAGAGCAATGGTATCATGTGTCAACACAAGACAACCCAGCAGATCTTATAACCCGTGGGACTGAAGCTAAAACATTTTCTCAGTGCACTTTATGGTGGAAAGGACCCAAATGGCTCAGTGCTGCCATCAAGATAGAGCCTGTAGTCAGTCAACTAACAAATGAAGAGTTACCAGAATTAAGGACGGTAAAATTAATTCTGGCTAACACAATTCAAAGTAATGACATTTTTGATCGGTTTTCCAATTGGACAAAATTGATTCGAGTAACCGGCTGGTTGAGTCGTTTTATACAAAATGCAAAGCACAAAGTTAGGCAGTCACGTTCATATGGTCCTTTATCAGTGGCAGAATTGTCAGCTGCGCAGAACATTTGGCTACGCTATGCACAGTTGGATTTTTCCGAAGAGCTGGAACACTTGCAAAAACACATGCAAGTAGCCATGAAAAGTCGCATTAAATCATTAAACCCTTTCATTGACAAGGACGGGATTATACGAGTTGGTGGAAGATTAGCAACATCCACACTATCATATCATCGTAAGTTTCCTATAATACTCCCTTCTAAACATAGAGTTACGCAATTATTATTTGTACACGAGCATCTGAGGCTTCTTCATGCAGGTCCTCAAGCACTAGTAGCAAGTCTGCAAACTAGTTTTTGGCCTCTACGAGCGCGTGACATGGCCCGCTCAACTGTACGAAAATGTGTCACTTGTTTTAAATATCGTCCAAGATTCTCAGTTCCATTAATGGCTTCGCTACCCAGGGAACGGGTCTCCATTGAGCGACCATTTAATCGCAGTGGCGTGGATTTTTGTGGACCAATTCTGATCAAGAGCGGTATCAGACGAGTCACAGCAATCAAATGTTACATTTCTGTCTTCATATGTTTTACAACTCGTGCTATTCATCTTGAATTAGTGACAAATCTAACAACAGATGCCTTTCTTGCAGCTTTAACTCGCTTCATGTCAAGAAGGGGTGTATGTTCGCATATTCATAGTGACAATGCCACAAATTTTGTAGGCGCTAATAAAGTTCTTAGGCAATTTTTTCAACAAAGTCAAAATAGTAAATCTGTAGTAGATGAAATGGCTAGTAAAGGAGTACAGTGGCACTTCATCCCGCCGTCTGCGCCTCACTTTGGTGGACTATGGGAGGCTGCAGTGAAATCAGCAAAAAGGCACTTGATTAAAGCAACAAAGGGAGCTCTACTAAATTTTGAAGAAATGGGAACGTTGCTCTGTCAAATTGAATTAATCGTAAATTCCAGACCATTAACTACTTGTTCCAGTGAACCTAGCGATCATGAAGCCTTAACTCCGAACCATTTTCTGGTTGGCGGTCCTGCAACACTTCCACAACAGCCAGATGTCTCCACCGTTCTACAAAATCGATTAAAGCGGTTTGAGCTCATGCAGCAGCAGATGCAGTTGTTCTGGAAACGCTGGAGTTTGGAATATTTACCACAGCTTCAACGGAGGGGACGTTGGACCACGCTAAGCCGCAACATGGAAATTGGAGACTTAGTAATAATGAAAGAGGACAATGCAGCTCCATTGCATTGGAAGCTTGTTCGAGTGGTTGCCACGCATCCAGGAGTTGACGGGATAGTTAGGGTAGTAACTGTGAAGCTCAGTTCAGGAGTTCGGTTGAAAAGACCAGTTGCTAAGCTTGCATTATTGCCCAAGCCAACCGAGGAAGAGGACAGCTCAACATTACCATCGTCCTCAGAATAGATTTTTTGTATACAGTATATAAATACTTTTTTATTATTATTTTTTTTTATTTGTTTAAGTGACATCAGTCATCATTTTCTTAGTTATTTGTATTATTATATCTTGAAAGGCTGTTCCTTTCAAGGGGGGAGCATGTTTGTGCCCAAACAAAATATTTTCAATCATTATTATTTAATAGATAACGGTGCGGTCAGCCGGCAGTGTTATACTCATTATCGCATGTTTGTATTATAATTATTATCGTTCGTAATTAACGGTTCTTGCGTGAGTCAAAACTGTTGATTGTGAATTTTATTATTGTTTCATACTTCATTTATATAATTTCTTGTTTTATT